AATTCTGCCAGTGTCAAATAGCGGCCGACGATAGTGTCTAGCTTAGCTATAACGATGACAGTTAAATACAAGTATACAGTTTTTTTTTTCAAATCCGTTTCCTGGTTGTAGCTCACTTACCTTGCCAGGCCATTTTGTTCAAAAGTAGAAAATTGTTTTACGCTACGAGTGCAATACGAGAAGTTCGTTTTATGCTATCGTCAACAGGTTACGAGGCTGACTTAATTAAATCTGTATTATCTTGAAGAAGCTACGATGGGATCACATTAGTGCGAACGTTTAAGCAGAGCTTCATCGCCAATACAAGCGCATCCTAGGGAACAGATTCCGCCGAAACGTCCGTCATGGATCTCATTGACACTGATCTACTTTTTAAGAGATGAGTTTTAAAAAAAAACTGGTCAGTACCGGAACGAGCTCCGTAAATTTAAACATTTTTCAAATCAAGTATATTTGTTGTCATGTAAATATTTTGAGGCCTGATGCAGCAATTTCGACTGTACCATCGAGAAAGCAAAGGCTATATACACATACCATGAGCACACATTGATCAGCTGCAACGCATAGCACTGGCCGTAGGCTTCCCGGCGATTGCTTTGGTGTTCGGCTTCGATCGTACCTTTATCTATCTACATTACCGCGTTTCCAAGAAGTAAATGTCAAATATTCTCATCCATGTTGAAAACGATTATTTGTTCCGCTAACTGAAGTACCCGGCGACTACCTTTCTTCGCACGTACTGCGTCTCAGGTACTCTAATCAGTCTGTTTACGACGTACCTACAGGTGACCTAAGGTCGCGCCATTTCACATTATCTATTGATTTGATCAAAAGTTATTTATCAAATTGATGAGTCCTTACAACGACCTCAATATCACGGCAAAATTGTTAGCTACTAGGGCCTACGTCGATGATCGGAGGCGATAATCAAACATGGTCAGAAATAATGAGATTTCCTGATCAGTGTCGATATATGATGTTCCTATCGGTCGCAAGCTTGTGATTATCATCAAATCACGACGCTGTTTTCGTGGCCCGTCTATACCCGAAACCCGTGATTATGGTTCGATCTGTATTTAGTGTTTGCAAACGAAGGTTGTGCACAGAACCCTGTACTATGACGCGCTGAACCCTATTCAATCAACTAAATGTAACAGAATAGGGCTTCCTCTATTGGACTCGTACTATTGTCATTCCGGCAGTATCTTCAATTGTCTGTCTCTGGGTATTAGCATTCATTTTTCAAAGCATCAGATTTACCTGTTCATACGTTTCTAATTCCGTTTAGTCATTTCTCAGCTTTTTTGAACAAGGTCTTTTTTTGAAATAGTTGGGTGACAGCCTAATTCTGCTTGCATGATTTTCTCTTTTCTACTACCGTATGATATAGAGTATAGTTTCCTAAGGGTTCAGCTATGCGATCGGTGACGATCGCCTAAACGTGCCATCTTGAAGTTCACTACTGCAGATGAGTGCTTCTCTATGTGCCAGTGGAAAATTGTCTGTAGCCGCTAAAGAAAAGCAGAACCTATGATGGCTTCTTATGAAGAAAGCTGATTTCGTTTCACATAGCCCAGTTATTGGATTTAAATAGCCGGCCCATCAAAAATGCTACTAGCTGAGTGTTTTTAAAGACACTCATTTCTTGACAATGTATTTCTCTGTCACAGGCTGTGACATCTGGTCAATAAATAACAACACACATATATGAAAACCCCTTTATAATAACCAGGCTAAAAAGGGATCCTGCTTTCAGAAATCGATAGTGCTGTTTATCTTTTATAGAAAATGAATATGCATATATATAAATAAGGTTATAATAATTAAGTAGTTTACTGAATGATACAGTTAGGAATTTATGTTTGTTACTCGTACGTAATTCGAACGTATTTCGAAAACAGTCATAGTTAAGAATTAACTTAAGTAGCCATTTAGACGCTATAAAATCATTGACACCTTGTGCTTTTTATTACAAACAATCAATAAAATATCTCAACATTAGTACCTTATTGTACATTAAGTAATGTTCATAGTACGATGGTGGAAATTTTATGAAATGAGCAAATCAAACCGAGTTCAAGGCGCTGACGTATCAGTGTTCACACGGCTCGAACCTTCCAAGCCTTCATGTGGCTATATACTGGCAAAAGCAATTGCTCAGAGCAATCACATAATCAATAGCTAGATGATAACTATTGATATAAGCGTGCATGTACAATCACAGATAGCGGAAACATTTCCTTTGGACAGCGTAAATCGTCATTGTATTGTCGATCAATAACCAAGCGTGCATCTATTGATAATGATGATGATGACGATGATGGTGATGAGAAAAAGGTACACAGACTAAAACACATATTTATTTCAAATGTCCCGCCACTATTGTTTTTCCCTTTGTAGATTACTCGTGTTAGCTTAAACTCAAATTCCGAAATATCGTGCGGCGTTTTTCCAACTTTTCTTTTCACCAACTAACACATCTGACTACTCCATTCGTTGATCATAACGAACTGTCGCCATTAGGATTCTATATTACGATAATCATGACTCTTAGCAATGGAGAGCAAGCTTGACCCTGACGCGTATTCGAAGCGTCACAAACTAGACAGGCGGTAATGCCCTGAAACTGTCGGATTCACATGGTGGCAGAAGTCTTCACTTCGCACCTGCTCAAAGCGCGATATGGCCCACAACACGGATGTTGTTATTGTTGCCGTCAGAAGTTGTCGAGTTGAAGACTGCTGAAGATGTTCGGACTGCTGACGACATGTACTTCACACCATGGCCAACATCATCAGCTCTGCCGCGGTCACCATTACCGGCTCCGCCAACACGATCATATACCATTTTTCTGACATGGCCGCAACCGTGATACCCTCGTATGCAGTTAGAGCATGCATCAGCCATCGACCGTGCCGACGCGATTTTAGTGCCCCACAGCAACAAGAAAAGACCGAAACCGGACTAAAAGTTGGCGTATTGGTGATTTCATCATTTACGTTTTCATCTTCCTCCCTCGGACAGACACACATCAAGTTTGCATCATTTGTACCATCATCATCACAATCTCCCTCTGTGCCGGACTAGTTGGGCATTTGATGCTTTTGAGAAAAACAAGAGCAATCTATAAAAAAAAAAAAAAAAAAAAAGAGAGAGAGAGAGAGAGAGAGAGAGAGCAAAGAGGAGGATCTTAAGAACAATCTTTATTGTGGTTGTCGTCCTGTCAGCGTTCGCTGGTGGCAGTGGGGGCGCACAGGGATCCCCGTCGTGGCTGACAGCAGCGACAGAGATGAGAAGAAGCTCGATGGATCCATGTCGTCAAAACGAAAAGGCTACGAGACGGTGATAGCGAAGTCGCACGGAAAACAGTACCAAGTCGCACTAGGCAGAACCAACCAGCAGCAACCAAACGATGACGACAAACAAGAGCGGCGGCAAAAGGCTCTTCGCCCGCGCGTAGTAGGTCTATCGTCATATGTATACTTGTTCTTCATCAACACTGCGTCGGTGTGTGGTGGGCCTTTCGGTTGGTGCGACCGCCGCTGTCGCTCTGTTTCTCAACTGGTAAGCTGCTTCGGCAGAAGCACAAAAACAGCTTCAGAAAATTCAGTGAAGCACAGGGTAGCCTCAGAGACCACAGGAGAAAGGGGCGTTCACATCTCGCTGTCATTTTGGTGTTTGAGGGCAAGCTTCGTTGTGCTGGCACCTACAACAAAAGTGGTTACCAGTTCTTCAAAGCGTCAACGGATGCGATATTGTGGCGGTGAGGTGGCAGAGAAAGAGGTGATGACAGCAGGCAAAAGCTGCTGTTTTTGCCCGGTGACCGCGGTGCTCTGTGCTGCCAACGAAGTGTTTCGTGCGACAGATGACATCTACGTGACTGTGTGGCGCATTTTCCGCTCGTTGCCTATGCGAAAAGCAGCCACGAACGTAGCTGCAGCAAGAGCAGTAGCAACAGCAAAGTTGGGCCTGCCTTTCTGCGTCTACCGCACCTTCTGCTCCCTGTTGCTAATAAGGTACTTATTCACGTAAGAACGCCTTGTTCTACGGAAAATAGGGACGAACGGGCGACATACAACGGTAGGCTGAGTTTGAACGAGAAAGCGTGCGCATAAGGTGAGAGAAGCACTATTGTCTGCCTGTCTTTCATTGAAACGCCAATTACATTGCTTACTACACAGTTCTGCCACCGCTGGCAGCATGCTACCCGTCACACGACTTCAGATTATATGTATATGTAATGGCGTAGTCACACTGGCGGCTGGCCTCTCGGCTTTTGTAAAACAGCGCGAGCTGTGCATACATACGGGCTTATACGTTGTAGTGAACTCGCTCTTATGGCGGTATTATACTTCACACCGCTACCGTTGCGTCATCATCGTATCATTTAATTCCCTCATTTGCATTTGGCGATCATAAGGATAATAGCGTTGAAGACGCATCAATTTACAGAAGAATGTAGGCTGAAAGTGAAGTTCCTGCCGTTTTCTTAACAGCGTTGCTGCGCCTAAGGACATCGAGCGCTTAATGCAGAAGGACAAGGAACTGATAATCGACTATTTTGCTTAGTCTTTGGCACACTATGTGTACTGAATGATAAACATAAGTGTCTAAATAGGTTCACTGTGTCATACCTAATAACCGTTTCGATAACTTTTGTATTTCTAAGTAGTCCACAAAAATAATTCAAAGATATATACTATACTTTTTTTCCAGTATAGTGGCAAAGCACAACAAGATTTCTTTCTGTCAAAAAAGGCTTAGCCTATCTTGAAGCGGATTATGTAAACATGGTCGAATTTTGATGCAATTATATAACTTAATAAGTTTGACTTCTACTTAGGAAAAGCATTTTCGTTTTGGCATGACCTACGGATCACAAGTTCCGGCAAGGTCCTCAACTTTTTTATTTCTGAGGCTCAATATCAACTACCAGAAAAAGCTGCCGCATCGAGTATTTACGTCTGGTGCAGCCACCTTGCCTAAAGCATAAGGCTTACCTCGGCTGTAGCTTTAGGACGCTTTCAAGCACGAGTTGACTCATCGTGGGTGACGCGTCAAGTCTTCATGAGTCGATCTGACATTCGCGCTGCTGCTATCGCCGCCTTAGCCACTAGCTAACACCATAAGCCTCTGCTTGTCGCAGCAGCGTCGTAAAAATCCCAAGGAATCCTGTGTGCGTCAACTGTACTCCTCGTTAGCTTTGCGGTCGCAATGTCTTTTCAGCATCTCTTGGCCCTGCAGTTCCAAAGGAAAACCCAGAGAGTCTGCTTCACGGACAGACGAATTGCAGGGAAATCCTAACCCGTGGGGGACACGGAGGCTGAAAGAAGCAGAGTAACCAGAGCTCAATCTCTTCGGTAAAACGTTCTATGATTTGTCCGTAGCTAGGGGCGGTTAAGCGTACGAAATCAGACAGACCAGTTAAGTGGGTCATATCACAATACCTTTGTTGCACAGTATTCACACAAGACACATGTTCTAGGAGGCAAACAAATAAGTATTTAACTAAGGTGGGCGTTGGGCGCATATAACCTCGTCAAAAGCCGATACTCAACATTGTATTATACCAAAGCCATCCCGAGAATAGGAGCTGAATTCGGTGAGTTTCTATTTCAGAATAGGGAAAGGACACGTCAAGAACATTCGTAAATGAGTTTAAATTCAACGCAGGTTGTCGTCGTCATCGTGTCTGTGCCTTCCACACTTACAAGATCAAAGAGAGTCCATGCTTATTATACGATACACTTCTAGCTCTCTCTTTTATTTTCCGTTATATATTTCAGGATACTCCCAAAACACAGCCTGTTATACACGTACTTACCAAATGGGGATGAATCTACAGTCGAGTTTAATTCGTTTGTACGTTCTTGAAAAACTGCAAAATAAAGCGTTGTGAAAGACATCGTCCATAGGCGTATCAATGCATATGAAATGATCAAGATTGCAATTTTGCAGCTGATTGACACTCTGCTTCCTGGTGTCATGAGAAAAACAAAGTGGTTGTTAACGTAGAACTGGTAAAATCAGATCCATGTTTATATTTATTTATATATCCATGTGCATATATTTATGTTATTAGTACTATGAATTAAACTGGATGCTTTCGGTTAGGCTTAACTCAATATGCGTAATAAAACTATATATATATATATATATATATATATATATATATATAATCGAAGCAGCCTTCACTGATATTTGGAAAATAAACAGTTGTAAATGGTGAAATCCGAAGTCGTTGCAGTTGTCGACTGAGCTTCCGGTTTTCAACCTTCGAGCATCTTGAATCGTTAACCATATCGTGAGATATAGGAGCGATACTGGGGAATTAAATCGGTTTGAGATAGACTATGTTTTGAAGTAGGTAGAAAATGACCAATCGAAGGCGTCACGAGAAGACAAAAGAAGTCCAAGTCTAAGAAACCCAGTTAGCGAAACAGTTTTGAATTAGGGAAGGGTGCTGAAGTTAAAATCTACTCGCGAGGTGCAAAGCTCTTCCTGTGTTACCCGTCCATAAAAACGTACCTTGAGCTGTAATCCTTAGGTCTATTGAAACCGTGGTTCTACCAAGTGGCTAACTGAATAATGTTTTTATTTGACATTGATGATTGTGCCGACCACTCTGCTCCCGTAGAGTGACGGCTATTTAATGCTTGATAAATAGAGTGAATTTCTCGTCACCGTCTAACCAACAACGAAGTAAACTATTGCTCATTCACTCAAGTGATTTGCCGATTTTATCAATCTCGTCACAACGCTTGAACGTCCAGTTAATTAACGCTAGACTCATTTATTTTAAGGGTAAGCATGAAATAAAGGTACGCTATGTACCTAGTGGTGTGTAATAAAGTGCACGACAAATTTTGACGGTCGTCTAGTCGGCTATCTTGCCTATGTTTTTTCGTCGCGGATGCAATCTGTCTACGCTTCTTCGATATGTAGTAACGTATCCATGCTAATTACTCGTATCTAGGAGCCATCGCTTTAATGGTTTGCTTCAAAGCTCGCCTCATTGTTTCGACTGTTATTCATGGTTGACGCTGTAGAGTCCAGTTAGGCGTATTTGTTAAATGAAATATTTCAGCTTTTACAATTGACATGATCAGTCTTGTGAGGTCCTCGTATAGCAGCTATCTGACGAAGGCATATAATATACGTCTGTTTGAGCTAGCACCAAGCTACGTAGAGAGCTTGAACTACTGTTTGAGCTGATTGGCATGTGCTTTTTGCAAGTAGAAAACGTAAAGTAAAAATTTGGCCTATGTGAGATATGGCCAAAGCGATACTGAAATCTTGAAAATAAGGCCAATCAATCAAGAAGAGTTTCTCTCGTATGCCGTAAATGTTCGTATTGCAACTCAACAAATTATTCGGTGATCTGATCTGCTTAGAGCTGAAAGCATTGCCTAGCTATATTCGTAACCCTCGCCATTGTCACGGTCACCACCATCATAAGAGGAAACTGTATTATTAATTTCTGTTAAATTGATCATTTTTATGTGACTGTCAATCATTGCTACAACGACAATATAACGTTTACAACAAAGATGGAACCCACTAGTACGGAGAGTTAAATTATTGTTGCTTCTGCTGTCGCAGCTGTGGCGTAGCTCGAAACGAAAATAAAAACGCAAAAAGGACGCACGAAAAAAAAAAAAGCGATTGTTGATTCTTCCCGCCTTCAGCCAGCAGCGCAAATTTGATTTCCAAGCCATACCGTAGGCTATCGTTAGTGCTCTTTTGCCCTTCATCAGCATCGTCGACCAACGATCGATATCGACCAACGAGGATGACTGACGATCGACGGAGACAGCCCGGAGAACCGGTATAGCGAGTTGTGGTGCCCCGACGGTGCGACGTGCCGATGGCCTGATGAGCCAGAGCGTCGTGCGGACGACGACACAACTCCTGGATAAGTCTACGGGTAAAAGGACGGAGAGTAACCATTTGGCAGTGGTCAATAATGGCAGCCAATGGTTTGTCATCAGCAAATACGTTCCATTGACCTATTAAAAGTGATCGACCGGATAGACAAAATATTACCGTCGTTACCAATTGAATTCAACTAAACAATGTTTTAACTTGGCCAATACGGCCAGCTGGGATAGCGTCAGTGGTAACTCGTCGGATTCTTCTGTCAGATAGATAGGCGAAAAACAGATTAAGCTATACTTATCATTATTATTTTTTTTTTTCTCTCAACTGACACGTTTGTGTTGTAGTCAATGTGGATTGTAGCCGATGCAAATTGGATGTTTATCGTCCACGTTCCAACGACTCATTACTACGGAAGATACGCGAATTCTTAGACTGACACTTGGTTCGCGTAAATCCTAAGCGAATGTGGGTGTGTTGCAACTGTTCAAGCAAAATATTTGAGAGGTCAACGATTTGAAACAAGTAGCAAAACATACCTCTCGAGAATAATTCTAGTTCCTAACATGAATCTTGGCTCTTTCAGGTTTCGAAATGGATTACTAAGAAAAGAAACAAATTGAAATTAATGGGCTCGTACTGGAACCATAAAGATAGCATCTCGAGAAACATATTTGCAGTCAGTCCCGCAGGGTCAACGGGAGAGCACACGTTGTTTTGTAGTTGTCTGAGTCATGCAAATGTATTATTCCTTACTACATACGCGTTCCTATCGTTAATGGAGATCGATCTGTATCTAGCGAAATGACTATGACCTTACGGTCGAGTGAAATTTGTGTCTGTTCTCAAACAGTCACTCCTGCAGTGGCTACCAATATATAAAGACACATTTACATTTTTTTGTTGAGCGAAATTGTATCAAATAATTCCGTGTTATTCCGATGTCAAACGTTCGTGTAGCTAATAGGCCGCGTTCATTTACTTTACATTTTCAAGCCGAGAGTGTTAAAACCGTCTACAAATCTCAAAACATACACTATACCGTAATGGTTTTGCAAAATGGTATTATGGTCCCTGGCGTACCGAGTGCAGTTATATTTTTGGTGAACAAACCTCTCGAACTCTGAGAGGCAAACCTGAAAAAGACGGTCGTTGCGGTATTGGTTCAAGCTGGCATATGTACAGCCCTTTCCCGCGAGTCCGCTCCACGTAATAGCGGAGTTGCATTTTTAAGCTCGTTTGTATCAGCTTGAAAGCCGACAACAGCTCGACGTGGTGTTGGGTGGACGACCAAATGCATTAGGAATCTGCAGAGTACGCGACCGAGAGTGCACACTCGAGGGTCTGGTCGGTTCGCGTAGGAGATATCATTGTCTGCACTGGGAACATAGTAACTTGCGACTGACAACCAGCCGGGCATACCTGTGGAGACGAGGCAAGATATTACCTTTATTGGCTAAAAATCATCCAATTCGCGAGGAATCGTAGGCGGCTAGCGCACCAGACAGGGATTGGGTTCTACCGTACGTGTAGAAAATTGAGTCAAGGCAGCCCAGGCATGTTGGCTTTGGATTCCATCTTTGCGTGGTCTGCTGGACATCGGATTGCTATCGCAAGCATAGACGGTGTAAAGGGATGATACTCAAGCTTGTTGTAGTATTGATGGTGTTCGTATCTAAGTGGTATTCTGTCACCGATAGGAAAGCCATTTTCCCGGCGTTGGAAACACGTTGCCGATCTGCTGAGTGTTGCTATCGCATATTGAATGTCAAGCGAGTATGCGTAAGAGTGCAGTTACCTTATGCGCAATTTGATAAGGGGTCACCCGTTTTAGGCAGGGGATAAAATTGAATTTCGCGCTGTTGGGTTTTTCGACGAGCAAAGATTTTACACCCGGATCGTTCTTCGCTAGAATCGACCACTATTCGTGCTCTCCGACCAACTCGAGATTATGCATATTAAGAGCTACGAATGCATCCGCCAAGCTTTCCTTGGTACTTAAACGCCCAATTCAGGAATACCTCATACTTCAGTGAAATTTAATAGTGACTGACTCGAGATGCATTCAGCTGCGCCTTTATTGCTAACACTGCCAACGGCGTCTCAACAACAACAACGTTCCATTAGGATAAACGAATATATATGCTAATAGTTCACACATACATATACAGCAAGGGACGCCGTTTTTCCTCCAAAAGAAAAAGGATAATTTCTTGATTTGGTAGAACAACCTCTATATTTTAGATAGATTTATATATAATTAGTATGAAATATACAAGCAATGTTTTTTACTAATGATCTATCGGCTTATGAGGCTTGATAGCTGTGATACAAGTAATTTTTCCGGAAGTTTTTTTCACGTCGCCCAGATATCGAGTGCAGACGGTTTAGAATGGCTTCAAATCTCAGCTGGTAATTACGAGTGGTTTCTCATCACCTTCAAGATTACGCTGCTGTGTTTTCATTTTTGCGTTTTAAAATCTGGCGACACCTTAAGGAAATCAGGCGTCGTGGGGATCGAGCTTCGACAGAAATCCGCTACTCTGGGATCACCTATACAAACGTCAAGGCCGCCGTAGGTCATAAGGTCGTCGAAGGAAATTCAGCGTCCATCGATCGCTTCTATATCAGCATCCATTTTGCATCTTAAAGCAATGTTCGGATTCGCAACAGCGTTCTGTAGTACGAAAAAAAGAAGCTTTTTACTATTTCAAATAAAAAAGCGTTTTCTATTTTATCATTAATATTAAATTGGTATATGAACGTATGATTCAATTTATTAGTGACGGTTTTGTTTACATGAATGTGTTATGCTTATTCTTGCCAAATTAGCGTAGCAACAATTGAAACTTTACGATTACATATAGTTCTATTTAAAAAAAAGGCCCTATCGTTATACATCCAGCAACACTTAGCCATGTTCCCTTTGCATGAAAGACGTGCTGCAAATGCCAATGCTTATTTGGATACTTTGCAACAAAGCCATATTTTTACCTATCATCTCTCAGTTACTTTTTTTTCCCTGATCGTTATTAGTGTATGTAATATAGACATAGAATATAATACATTGCTTTGATAGTCGCTTGCACAATACCTAAG